GGGCGGGGGGAGACGCTGCATGAAACCCTGCTGCTGCTGCGCCGGGAGCTGCATGAGAAGGAGCTGCAGGTGCAGCCGGGCGTTGCCAGGGGCTCCGGGGGTGTGTGTGTGTGTGTCTATATTAACCCTCCCTTCCCCTCGGCCACTCCAGGCCCAGCAGCTCCAGGCTGAGGCAGAGGAGCTCCGAGTCGCCAACCGGCGGCTCCAGCGCCGGGTGAGAGAAATGACGGACGAGATCCGTCTCCACGCCTCCGACGCCTCGGCCACCTCCCTGCAGTCGGAGATGGAGCAGAGCACCGAGGGGAGCCCAGAGCAGAATGGAGGGGCTGCCAAGGTGAGCGGAGGGGCAGTAGGGCTTTTGGGGATCCCTGACATCCTTAAATAGGCTGGGCTGGGCCAGGACTGCTCCCTTCTGTTAACCCAGCATGAGCCCTGTGTTGGGAGACCTAGAACCCTCCCTCGGTGAGCCTGGCCATTACCCAGAATCCCAGCCTGTGCTAAGGAATCCAGAGAAAACCCAGTGTTGGGAAACCAAGACCGCCTCTTTAGGGGTGGGGTGCAGGAGTCACCCAGAACCCAGTGTGGCTGTTGAGGAACCTAGAAGCTCTCTTTGAGTGACACAGAAAGTACCTAGAACCCCAAGTGGTGACAGACACAGGGCCCTCCCTCCTTGCGGCCATTGAAATTAGCCAGGATTCGCCCATTGTTGGTTAATCTAGAACCCTCCCTCTTTGTAGCCATGGAAATTAGCCAGCATTCGCCCATTGTTGGTTAATCTAGAACCCTCCCTCTTTGGAACCATGGACATTAGCCAAGATTCATCTGTTGTTGGGTTGTGACGGCGTGTTCAGGGGGTCCCCGACCCTGCACCCCCCTCCGCAGCCAGATGTGACTTTCAGCTGGCCAGCAGAGTAGAAGGTTTTATTGGTTCTCAGGGACACAGCGCAGCAGAGGATCGGTGTTAGCGCAGGTACCCAGAGCAGGCGGCCTTATTCCTCTCAAGGGAAGGGGCACCCAGGCCCTTTACTCCCCCTTTCCTGCTCTCAGTGGCATCTCTCATCCTAGCCCCCGAGACTGACTCAACTCCCAGGACTAGTTTCCAGCCTGGTGACAGTCCCCACCTCTATCCTTTGTCTTTCTCTCTGGGAACAGAATCGTTATCTTCTAGGTCTGGCCCCTCAGGTGTCTAGGCCCAATACACATCTGGTCTGAGTCATCAGGAGTCACACAACACAATACAGACACACAAAAGTAGACAGCACCCCCACTATGTCACATGGGTAACCTAGAACCTCCCTCTTTGGAGCCACGGAAATTAGCCAAGATTCACCTGTCGTTGGGTAACCTAGAACCCTCTCCTTTGAGTTCTTGCTCCTCACTGCAGCCTGCACCCCAAGCCCCTCATCCCAGGCCCTGTCCCAGAGCTCACATCCCCCTCTACCCAGCTCTGAGCCCCCTCCTGCAACCTGGACTGATCAGCGCCAGCCCTGCCACACCCCCTCTCCATATGCGTGCACGTCAAATGTACCCTGCACATCCTGGGAACAATGTGAGGGAACACTGGCCCATGCCCCACCCCAGAGGCGGCCACTTTTCTGTGCCAAAGCTGATGTTGCTGTGGGTTAGCCCCTGGCCAGGACCGTGTCTGAGGCTGCCCCGGGGGGCCCGAAGACCCCAGCCCGGGGCTCAGAAGAGGAGGCAGAATATGCTAAACGGGTCTTGGCTCTGACCCACCTGGAGCAAGACTTGCTGAGACAGAAAGAAGTTGAGAAACAAAAACTCGGCGGCCACTTTTCTGTGCCAAAGCTGATGTTGCTGTGGGTTAGCCCCTGGCCAGGACCGTGTCTGAGGCTGCCCCGGGGGGCCCGAAGACCCCAGCCCGGGGCTCAGAAGAGGAGGCAGAATATGCTAAACGGGTCTTGGCTCTGACCCACCTGGAGCAAGACTTGCTGAGACAGAAAGAAGTTGAGAAACAAAAACTCCAGGTGAATGTATGGGGGGGGGGGTCTCCCCACAGGGCCATAAGGGGGAGTCAGGTGGGCATGCAGGAATGTCCCCAGCAGGGGGCACTCTGTCTGGGGTGGGGGGTCTCTAAGAGGGAACTAGGTGAGGGTGCAGGGTGTCCCCAGTAGGGGGTGCTCTGACAGGGTGATCCCTAAGGGGGAGCCGGGTGGGGATGCAGGGTGTCCCAGCAGGGGGCGCTCTGACAGGGGCCCTAAGGGGGAGCCGGGTGGGGATGCAGGGTGTCCCAGCAGGGGGCGCTCTGACAGGGGCCCTAAGGGGGAGCCGGGTGGGGATGCAGGGTGTCCCAGCAGGGGGCGCTCTGACAGGGGCCCTAAGGGGGAGCCGGGTGGGGATGCAGGGTGTCCCAGCAGGGGGCGCTCTGACAGGGGCCCTAAGGGGGAGCCGGGTGGGGATGCAGGGTGTCCCAGCAGGGGGCGCTCTGACAGGGGCCCTAAGGGGGAGCCGGGTGGGGATGCAGGGTGTCCCAGCAGGGGGCGCTCTGACAGGGGCCCTAAGGGGGAGCCGGGTGGGGATGCAGGGTGTCCCAGCAGGGGGCGCTCTGACAGGGGCCCTAAGGGGGAGCCGGGTGGGGATGCAGGGTGTCCCAGCAGGGGGCGCTCTGACAGGGGCCCTAAGGGGGAGCCGGGTGGGGATGCAGGGTGTCCCAGCAGGGGGCGCTCTGACAGGGGCCCTAAGGGGGAGCCGGGTGGGGATGCAGGGTGTCCCAGCAGGGGGCGCTCTGACAGGGGCCCTAAGGGGGAGCCGGGTGGGGATGCAGGGTGTCCCAGCAGGGGGCGCTCTCCCTGCCTCACCCCCCTCTCTGTGCCCCCAGCTGACACTGCAGCACGTGGAGCTGAGCGGCCTGCGGGGGGAGCTGGCGAGCCAGCGCCGTCTCTTCCAGGAGAGCGACCGGGACGAGGCCCTCAGGCTGGCTGTGGCCGACCGGGACGAGGCCCTAGTGAAGTGAGACCTGCGTGGCCCGGAGCCGAATCCCTGGCGCCCCGACGGGGCAAGGCCCTAGGTCTCTTCCCCACCCCACAGCTGGCCGGAGTGGGGCTGGCGCCCCCTGGAGGCCACCGGCGCCATCCCCTGCCCACAGAGCCATCAACTGTTGGGGAAGAGAGACCCCTTGTGTTCAAACGTGGGAACTGCCCCCACAGTGACCCTGGCCAGGGAGATGAGGCTGGGGGGAGCAAT